TCTTTGCACCAAAATTATAATTGTTCAGTATTTGTATGAAATAGTGTCTTTTTATCCTTCTTCGTTCCATTATCGTATCACATAATCGATATTATTATTCGGGTTGTCGTTTGCGATTATACCCACTTCAAGGTTTACTAAGGACTGGTTTGTGAATTGGGATTCCCAGCTTGAGTATGCTCCTGGTCTCGGAATTGTTTACTAGTTTTTGTATGTAATTGTTATCACAGAAAAGAGGGTACACTTCTAATATAGGTTTTTATGAACTTAAAAGTTGTACTAAACCCTGTAATGATAAAACTTGTAAATTCAATAAATAACAATTTATTATTATCTTCCATTCGAGCATGAATTTAATATGAAGAGTTTATATTTACTTGATTAGAAGAAGAGCACATTTAAGCCAAAAATTTATATTCAGAAACGGGGTCTAGGTCTACGTCTAAGACGATACATTTTAGAATCAATACTTGGATGAGAAATAAAAATAGAGAATTGGTCGTATTGAACTTGAACTTCAGCTGTGCACACAGATCGTCTCCCTCGCACAGCTTACTCCAATTTACAGGTGGCACGGTAATACGGTTGACTAATCCATTTGTTATGTGATTCAGTTACAGCTGACACTGTTTGCGGTAGTGAAAATAAAAGTTTATTATTAGTCGAATATCAACATTTAGTAGTAGGCCAGGCCCCCCACTAGGTGGACCGACGATCCTTTAAAGGTCGCGGGAAGAACTTTGTCCAGCAGTGGACGGCATTAGGCTGAAGCGAACGAACATTTAAAACATTCCATAACATCTAAAAAATAAAAATAATTCATAATTCATAACGCAAATCGAAGAAAGTAAAAAAAGAAAGTTTATAATTTAAAAACAATGATATTGGCAAAGGAGCAAGCCGCGTGATCCATTAAAAAATAGAAAAAAAAGAAATAATTCTCTTCATTTTAGTTTTTCGCGCGAGAACTCTACCTACTTTATTTTTTACAGGAAAACCAAAGCCCTCACATGCTTTTATAGATTTGTTCGTTCGTTCGTTTCACCCGCATCCAGGCTCTTCCTGCGCTTCTTCTTCTTTTATAGATTATTATAACCAAAATAATTGGAAAAAGTATTTATACAGCAGCCTAATGTTCCAATAAGATGACATNTTTGTATTTGATATCGTTGTTAAATGCAAGGAATTCTCCGGTTTTTTTGACACTGACATTTAAGTATTTAACCCGTTCACCGCCTTTTTTATTAAAAAAATTGTGAAAACTTTTCCAAGATATTACCTACCTCCATTTCAAAAATTCAAACTAATCAATCTTTCTTTCAAAGTTTTCAAATTATTAATTAATTTTAATTGATTAGGTTAGCCGTTTTGATTTACATTTTTTCGTCTCTTAGATATTATGTAAACTTTGATAGAGACAACACTGCGATGTTGTTTTTTTTTCTTTTTTTAAACCAATTGCTTTGTAGCTAAACGTTTAATGTGAGGGTTAGTATGCCAATAATATTTATTCAATCAATTATGTCGGTGCCAAGGAATCTCAGTAAAGGTCACAGCATAGTAGAGGCTAATATCTGTTCAGCTTCCTGTATGACGGCATGGGGAGTTAGTCACGCTGACCGTTGCAGAGGTACCTACCTAGGTGTACGTCATCGTTGCTCAACCGATAGATAGTCCGGTTAGTTAGTTTTTGTCCGCGGTTTCACTCGGGTCGGACGCAGGATACTTCTTACTGTAGTAGTTTATGCCCGCGGTTTCGCTTGGGTCGGATGTAGAAATGCTAAGACTATCGCACGGCGAAAACGAGTTTTTATCTAAATCGCTCGTGAAATAAACTGCATTGTTTTAACTCAAAAATTGTATCGCGACTTTTTTTTAGTTACTGCACTTTGCTATTAAACTATTTATTGTTTTCCTTTATTATTTTGTATGCACAAAATATGGATTTTCAAATTTCTCAATTGCAAAATTATTGAAGTAAGATAGTAACGTGAACGTGACTAACTGCGCAAAAATGTATTATCCTATTTCCTGTCCCTTATCTTTTCACAAAAATTATACTTGTTCAGTATTTGTATGAAATAGTGACTTTTTATCCTTCTTCGTTCCCTCTTTTATCGTGTCACATAATAATCGATATTCGATATTATTCGAGTTATCGTTTGCTAGTTTTGCTACTGAACAGTAATAAGCCACGATTATGCCCATTCAAGGTTTTTCTATCCTAATTTCTCAGAAACAATTTCTGCCTACTCATCTTCTATTCAAACATGAATTTTAATATGAATAGTTAATTCCTATCAAAAAGATAAGTAATCATCATTTCAGCCATAGGACGTCCACTGCTAAGCATAGGCCTTCCCCAATGACTTCCATAATGGCAGGTTGGTAATGGCCTGCATCCAGCGCCTTCCTTCTATCTTTATAAGCTCGTCGGTCCATCTTGTGGGTAGACGTTACGCTTTCCCGTACGTGGCTTCCACTCCAAAACCTTGCTGCCCCATCGACCGTCCGTTCTGCGCCCATTGCCACTTCAGCTTGCTAATAGAAGATGAGTGTTCAAGTCAAAAATCTTATTTCAGAAACGGGGCCTAATCTAAGACGATTGACACATTGGTATATTGGCAAGCTTAGAACCATTACTTGGACGAGGAATAAAAATAGAGTAGGTGGTCGTATTGAACTTGAACTTCAGCTGTGCACACAGCCCGTCTCCCTCGCACAGCAGAACTCTTAATTTACACGGTAATACGGTTGACTAATCCATTTGTTATGTGATTCAGTTACAGCTGACACTGTGCGGTAGTGAAAATAAAAGTTTATTATTAGTCGAATATCAACATTTAGTAGTAGGCCAGGCCCCCCACTAGGTGGACCGACGATCCTTTAAAGGTCGCGGGAAGAACTTTGTCCAGCAGTGGACGGCATTAGGCTGAAGCGAACGAACATTTAAAACATTCCATAACATCTAAAAAATAAAAATAATTCATAATTCATAACGCAAATCGAAGAAAGTAAAAAAAGAAAGTTTATAATTTAAAAACAATGATATTGGCAAAGGAGCAAGCCGCGTGATGCATTAAAAAATAGAAAAAAAAGAAACAATTCTCTTCATTTTAGTTTTTCGTGCGAGAACTCTAGTTACATACTTTATTTTTTTCAGGAAAACCAAAGCCCTCACATGCTTTTATAGATTTGTTCGTTCGTTCGTTTTACCCGCATCCAGGCTCTTCCTGCGCTTCTTCTTCTTTTATAGATTATTATAACCAAAATAATTGGAATAAGTATTTATACAGCCTAATGTTCCAATAAGATGACAACCTGCAATGTTTTTTCTCCCTCACCAGGCGGAGGCAGCGGCATGCCGCGCATAAATCCTATCCTATAAACAGCGACGGGTGGCGCGCACGTGTTTCGGAACACATGTGTTGCTTGAGGGTTAACGTTCGAAATTTGAAATTTGGGCTCCGTATGTAGGTTTGAGTTTAGAATGTGATTCATATTGAATCCCTAGTTTTAGGATGATATCATAATTTATTTTATAACATCTTAACCACTTAACCATCTCATCGTGCACGTGTTCGCGCGCGTTTAGCAAATTTTAAATAAGTAAAATATTTTACCCGCCAGACGTTTTAAGATTTTTTAAATTAAATATTTATTTTATCCATTCGGCTGTCGTGGCTTCTGGGTTATTTAAGTATGTCAAAAACCAAAAATGTCTACCTACCTCATCCAACAATGGTACCTACCGCTACGGGAAACCAGAATAATCATCCGATCTACATACAATGTCTGTATGCGAATTTGCTTCTAAGAACCACTAAATAGGCTGATATTAATGACCTTGGGTTGGTATCATCATCATAATCAAGTTTACGATGATTTATTTAATGAAAATGAAAAAATATTTTGAGACTTTTGAACTTCAAAATATAAAATGTAACTCTTAAGGGGGCTCTTTACATGTTCCTTATAGTATTTTGGACCCTATCAATGTTTCGGTTATATTTGTTTTTATTTATTTAAGTAGGTAATAAAAACAAATTTAATAATGATTTATCTCATTCAGAATTTTGTGTAATTTTTTCATCAGTAAGTCACATCCTTTAACACCCCTTTAACCCCCACCACAACATGTCTTACTCAAAAACGGTGCCAAAATTCATCAAAATTGTTTCAGCAATAACTTAGCGTGAAAACGGGACAAATACGCAGACAGTTGCTATTGTATTGATATTATTAGTATACCTAAATTGATATTTCACACGTCACAGCCAACCAGCTACGACGGATTTCTCAATCCCGGCGATAATACTGTTCCGTTCTACAAAGTATGACTTTCTCCAGCGTAATAAAGCGGAAAAAACTTTCGATGGAAATATTTGATAATATTTATAAAAATGTGCTGCGAAAATAATTAAATAATAACATAAATTAAAAAAAATAAAAGAAATAAAAATGTTAATTTAACGTAAAATTCTTGTGTTCTAAATTAAACGATAAATCAAGCTAATATCGGCATATTTTAAGTTTCAGAAAAATATTTTGTATCTTGATAATAGCAGTAGGTGGCAACTTTATAGAACTATCAAAATATTATAATAATTATCTTGTATTTTTTCAGTAGTCTTCCGGGTCGATAATCTGATCAAGATATTAATAAATATCAAAGATAGGTAAAGATAACAACTTAATTTAATGAACACATTGTCAAACAAAATAATTTTATTTTTTTAAATGAAAAATCTATTTACCTACTATTATAAATTATTTCTATAATGTAATAAGTCGGTCAAAAAATAAACCCATTCATAATAACGCAGACTATTTCCAAAAAATAAATAAAAATATCTGCCCTTATAAAGATTAAAATCATCAGGATGTTCGCATTAAAATAAAAATAAAAAATCAAAATTGGAACTTCCGTTTTCGCGCGCATTCCATTTAACCCTAAAAACGCCGGCTCATTATCTGTGCAATGACGGAAACGGCGCGTAAGCTACCAGTCCGCGAATGACGACCGCCACGCGTTAACGTTGTTGCTGGCATTTTACAAAAAAAGTAAACTCCCGCGTTTCGAAGTGAATTTGAAATTGGAAGCAGTGTTTGTGTTTTTAATTTTTAATTTTATTTTTATTCACGTGTTTGGGTTTTGATATTTTGGTGTTATTGTGATATTATTATAGGGGTTGTGAGTGAAAAATGTGATGCTCATGATAGTCGGATGTTGTGGGGCAGCCGTGTGTGACGGATGCACATGCCGCGGCTTTCCCCGCGATGTAAATTCAACTCTCTCGGATGGAATCGCTACTTTTTGATATTTTTAAAATCTTTCATTAACCCTAAACTATTCAATCTTATTGGTTGACAACTGAAATTAAAAATCTTCTCACATCAATCACCGAAGAAAACGTTATCCATTAACGTTGTAACATGTCAATTATTACTGGCTGTAACATATTTTTAACAAGAGTTAATTGTCTTTTAATAGTTTTAATTACGAAAATTCACACGTTAAACTAAAAACCGTTTGACAAACCTAAGATTTTGAACTACGGAGTCTATTAAAATTCATTCATAATTATTTTAAACCCTTCAATGAATAAAATTCTCATGGATTACCTCGTTCGTACCTAACCTTGTCATCTAAGATTTGATAGCGAGATACTGTAATGACGTCATCGTGATAACATATCACATTCCTACTCGAAACCTTGCGTTGTTCGCGTGCAAGCGATAATCTATTAATTTGGCCTGTCGAATGCACCGGCCCATGACAAATGGTTGAACGTAGAGGATTGTGTAAGCCCAAGTGGTATAATCATAGATATTTAATTATTATGAAATTTTCATTCACTTGAAGCGAGGTGAAGGTGTCGACCATTGTGGTGAACTCACTTGTAACACAAGCATATTTTGTTTACCACGAAGGGTTAACAAGATTCTTTAAAAAAGTATTAATATTCAACACGAAATTTTTGAACTTGCTTATAGGTCAAACCTTGGATTGTACCTTGGACTTTATCAGTTAAAACAATCAACAATCTTCAGAAAAATACCTATTACCTCACTGTTAACCTTTTAGCTGCTTAACAACTGTCATAAAGTTGCAAAAAAACAAATCAATTCAATAAGCAAATCGCTAGTTTTTAGTTTAAGGCAATAGTTAGACAGGAAAACCGTTGGCGATTAGATCATCACGAAATCTTAATTGGGCGGTGAAGAATGTACAATAATTATAATTAAACTTCACAGTTAAAGTGACGCAATCCAAAATATATGCTCATAAAATACTGGTCTTCAATCCACTTCAATTACCTCTCCCAATCGTGGAAATAATCGAATGCGTCATTCAGAAATTATCGGACAAGAATCTATTATTACAACATAATCAGCTCATAAGTGGTCTAAAACTAGGTAATTATTGCAGTTTATTGCACCTAATCAAAAACAAATCGTTGAAAATCTGGATCAATTGTTTTGAGCACTTGCAGCAATTACTGAAGATTATTTGATTGCACAAAAATGTTCATAGCTGCTCTGTTAATTTAATATGCGACTCATGGGACACGATGTCCCAAAATTCAGTGATAAGTAGGGTGGACATGGTCATGACTAATTTTAGGAAAAATAAATAAAGTTTTTGTCTCTACGGCGCCAGCTAATCCTTGAATTTTGGGATACGTTGTGTATGGATAAATTCGTAGAATTTTAAGAATCTAGCTGAAGCGATCTTCTATTGAAACAGTGATTAAGTTCTAACTAGTTTCGCTTGAAGTCACGTACAAACCAATACTAAAACCTGAGATGATTCAGACATGAATAAGGCATGATGATGATGAATGACGTTCTGTGTAAATTGAGATTCTAATACAAAGTTTTATTTGCGGTATTTCCATTTAAAATCTTCTCAAAATGGCGAAATTCTTGCGCAAAATTTGTTTGGATGTTGAAAATATAACCTATCAGTAGTAGGAGAGATCTTTTATACTTTACAGTGTACTGATCGGAAGTCAAAGGATTCTCTATCTATTGGTGATTTAAAATTTTGATTGAAATAAGCATTGTAGGAAGTTGCTACTTAAGTATTATCATTGATTTCAATTTAGAACCTATCCTAGATACCTAAGCCCAACCTTTGGTGATGACAGTCATGTGTAAAAAACTTTTAAAATATTCTCAATTAAATAACTATAATCACTGTATGTATAAGTCTGTAAATCCTTGAAAAAAAAAAGGTTCACAATAGTGAGAGTGAATGAGTTTCTTGCGCTGCTTCTTCTCAGCACTGACCCATTTATTGTCCCGAAGCAGTGGTAGGGTTAATACTGGGACCTGTAAAAGTGCTTTTTAAAAGACTACTTGCATAAATAAATGAGTTTTTTACTACTTAAACTAGTGATAATCGCAGCGTAAATAGAATAAAACAATCATCATAATGAAGTAAAAGTATATCACATAATTGCTTCAATAACAATAAGACCGTGGTCATGAAATGGAACGTATAATTCCATTCCGCTTTTGAAATGTTGAATCTATTAGTGTAATGAAAACAATATAAAAACAGTATGAATCCGCATCTAACAGGTTTTGTTGGATATCTCATTCTCAACCTATCGTATTTCAAGAAGAATGCATTGTATTTTGTTAAGTTTAGTCTTTAAATTGACGATATTGTAAATGTTAACACAAATGTTAGCTTTCTATGAGAAAAGGGTCTCTACTAGACTAGTGACAATTGACTTTTCTATGACGCGTTTCTGTCAGCATCTCTACAATAGTACTTTGACAGTAACAGACAAATGACAGACGCTTGTAATCTGAAAAGGCGGTAAAATCTCGATACAAAGCCAAAACATCAAGCTCATGCTTGACTGGATATCAATAAATAGTCTAAAAATAACTAATAATGGCTCAAACTGCCCTCCAAATTATATACGTAATTTGGAGGCCAGTTTAATCCATTGTATATTAGATGAGCCATATGAAACAAGTAAGATGGTGTCAAAAACTGATGTAGAACTTTTTGGTTTACTACAGTTGTTACAACACACAAAATGAGAGAAGAACTCACTTGTATTACATCTGAAGCAGAATGTGTACTTCGCAATATGAGCTCTCGGCTCAAAATTTGATTTTTGCACAATGTGCATTTCTCAAAATTTCGAGTCTCATTTTGCGAAGTGCACATTCTTCGTCAGACCCATCTGAAGTTTTTCAGGCAAATAATACTCAGTAATGTTGGGCTCGGCAGTAAGTCATCGTGACAAATGACCTGTGAATGTTATCTGCGACAGACGTTAGAGGTCACGGTCGCGNGGTCACGGTCGCCGCTGTGAACGTCCGTGACTCGCGTTTGGGAGACAAATTATTACGCGCAGCACATCAGGTTAAATGTTCATAGCAAAATAACACCTATTACAATACAACAATAAATATATAAATTATACTACATAACAATAGTGACAGTATTGCGCTGCTTTTTCTCAGCACTGGCCTATTTATTGTCCCGAAGCAGTGGTAGGGTTAATATTGGGACGTGTAAAAGTGCTGTTTAAAAGCCGAGATGATTTTTTATTAAATTTAAATAAAGAAAGATTTTGTCAAGTGTTAAAGCTAGATGACGTACCGTCTTCTGTGCGCGAATTTTGAACAAGCAAGGAACATGATTATGTATGCGTATGTCCATATTATTATTATGTCAGTCATTCAACATAGAAAATTAAACCGGTTATGTAAATATGGCACAGAAAGCGTTCTCAAAGAATCTCCAAATATTGGCAAAAACATCGTCTAAGTGACAGTCGAACCCAACAAGTATTTATCGTATTGGCAGTTAATCATGTAAAATTCATTAATAACTAAACCTAAAAAGCGAACAAAAAAGACACTTAACATACAAAAAAACTAAAGAAATATCCCAACCGATGTCAATCATTAAATAAAAAAAAAATGTCAGGCGGTTAAAGGGTTAATAAAAAACAAAAGTCGTCAAAGGAGTTTTAATAACTGCCTAAAAACTTAGAATTATCTCAAAAACATGTGGATACATGTATCATGCATTATCTGTACGCGAATCGGGCACAAAAAATGAAGCCATATTTTTTTCATTAATGCTAAACAGGACGCCGAAATTCAAATTCGGAACGGCTTATCAACGTTTGTAACGGCCTACGGGGTTATTACGTAATCGTTTTTGCGATAGCAACTGTTGCTGTCAAACTTGAAACTCCTTAGAAATATTATAGGGATAGAATAGAAGCTACACCTAGCGGAATAGAGCATCAAAGGACTGAGCGAGCGAAAAAATAGAGAGAGATGCGTGATTTCGTCGTCTCACGATTTGCAACTATATGACAGTTCTTTAGCAAATTTGACCTCTAAGATTTATTCAAATTTTACGTGAATGAAATCATGCATATTTTATTTTTATTATAGAAGTAGTGCTTCATAAACGTGGTGACTGGTTCAGTGATTATTATTGTACAAAACAGTGAAATAATCCTGACACTGACATACAAATGACATCCAATGTCATCCAAAATCGGTTTCGTTTGACAGCTCGTGGTTGTTGCTCTATTCCGCTAGGTAATTAACTTTATGGAAACTCCTTAGAAAAATGACACAGATCAAAGCGTTTTTAGCTGGCTGGTTGCATTTGCGTTACGTAATAAGGCGGCCAAACGTGATTCCTATATTTAAATTTTACCCATACACGGCGGTGGCCTTGAGTTTACGCGCGGGGAGCCATTGTGAGCGGTTTTTAGTCTGTGAAAAATTCCATTTGGGTTACTTCATTCATTGTGATAATGGTATATGGTTTCAGAAAAGATCAGGTTTCCTGTGTGTTTACAAATGGTTACAAAAATCTTTGTGTAGGAAACGACAAGGAATTATTTTCTATTATTAGACATTTTCACACACGTGTTATGTTCCCCATACCATTCTTAAAAAGACAATATTTGTCAAAATTCCACCAGCTCGCACTGAGCGTTTCGATAACTCTTTCATAATGCAAACAGCTAGGGACTGGAATTTGCTGCCTGCTGCTGTCTTTCCCGACTACATCTCACTTAACATAAGTTGCGATTGAGGTCAAATACC